GCCCCCTGCCAGGCGCCGCCCCCGCGCACGCGCCGCCCCTGCCGGGCAGCCCCCGCCGGAAGAGCTCTCCGCCGCCCGCGGCCCGGGCAGGATTGGATTTTGCACCCGGCCGCGGCCCGAGGTCGCAGGAAGGGGCGGGACCGCGACGCTGCAGTCTGCACAGAGGCGCCGGTCGCGCCCGGCGTCGAATCCAAGCGAGAATCCGTGCAAGCCCGGGCCAGCGGCCCTCACTTCTGGTCCAAATCTAGGAGCTGCAGCGAGAGGCGGCGGTACACCCGCTGCGGCCTCGGCTTGCTCTCGGAGCACCTCTGCACACTGTGTCTGCACCCCAACACGCGCGCGACGCGTTTGCAGTACAGCACCCTAACACCACTGCACTTGTGTATCCTAGCAACAGTAGACCCCAACGCACAGCGTAACACCGCACACCGCGTACCCCAATATGAACAACCCTAGCACACCGTAGCACTGCCTCGGGATGAAAGACCAGCGCGAGGAAACCACCCATTCCCAAAGCAGGTTAAGACGAAATGTCTGCTTGGGACTCACTGAAAGCTAAACATGCCAGCATCCATCTCTGATCTCAGTAAAAGCGCCCCTGCTGGCTTTCTGCAAAACCGAAAGCAAAACTGCTTCGGCAGTCCTCAAAACCGTTTCCTCCGTTCTTTTTTCGGGATGGTTTCATGATCTGAAAGGCGAGCTACAGAGACAGACAAGTGGGTTCCTCGCTTGTTTGAATCTTTCCTTAAGTGCAGCTGTGTTTCAAGCTAGACTGCGTGGGACAGAAGCTGCGTTCTGATGCCGGAGGCCCCAGCGCCAGGCCCTGCGGTGCCCAGGCAGAGACTGCGCCGCGCTAGCGCTTTCTCCACTGGCCGCTGACTTCCGCGAGTGCAACTTCCCAGGGCCGGCGCACTCGCCGCCCGGTGCCATTTTGCAGCCGTCTCTTGTTTCTGCTGCACTATATGTGGATGCTTCTCTCCCTAAACTCCTGTACCTTGCAGAATTTGATCCTCTTGAAGTCCACCTGCTGTACAGCAGGGTCAAAGTCTGGACTGTAAAATACATGATGGGGAAAAAAATGGATGTTGGAAAAAGCTCGGCTACAATCTAAGGCACTTGCAGAACTCAAGGAGACAACTAATTGGAAGCTTTGAGAAGATTCAGGGACATTGAAAACCAAATCCCCTGTCTGAATCTGGACAGCTGGCACCCTTAGACAGGCCACAGGAAATCATGACTTTTAAATTAACAAAGGTATCTTTTGTCTTCAGAAAATCAGTCTTGAGGTCAGTCGGTAACTGCAACAATGTTACGTCCCTAATGCTCTTGGGAATCCGCAACACAATGATAAACAGAATTCTTTTTTTGTTTTTTGCCCCATCAACTCTGGAGCTTGCGGGTATCAGGCAGGCGCTTATGCCACTGGACTATCTTCCCCGCCTAGGTATCTATTTTTTAAGCACATCAAAACAAAACTAGAGAGCCCGAAATTTGGCTCAGTGGCTTGCCTATCCAATATGAGGTTCTGAGTTCATGTCTCAGTATGTCCCCAAAACAAAAAAAATCCCAAAGAATTATGTTCATCCCTTATGTTTTATTCCAACAGGTTTGAGTGATTCTAGTTAAACCAGAAACATCTTTTAGACTGATTGACTGGTGCTGGGGATTGAACTAGGAATTGCTGCCTGCTAGGAACCTGTTCTACCATCAAGCTGCACCTCTGGCCCCAAATGACACTTTTTTCTTTGTGCTCTCTGCTTGGCAGGCAAGCAGCCTGCAGCTGATACCTGTGGACCCCAAATGTTACTTTAGCAAAAGTTTTAACGTCTATTTTTGCTGTACACTATTCGGAGCAAAGCTGTATACTGAAACAGCCAAGAGATTCAATTTATTTACAAAATTAATGAGGCTGAGGAAATGGCTCAGTAGAATAAGTGCTTCCCTGGCAAGTGCAAAGGCCCGAGTTCAATCCCTGGTTCTGAAAAAAAAAAAAAATTAAACATTTTTCCTTAGTGGCATATTTAAAAGACATAATAAGCATTATGTTAAGTATTCTTCTAAATTTATGCAGAAAAAAGTTTGTAAAGCTAATAAAAAGTAAAACATTTTTGACTTTTTAGCCCAAGGGATGGAATGTGCTTTGAACTCTAGAAAGGCAACCATTTATTCCCCACTGTGTTCCCACCGTGTTCCACAGGGCCATGCTATACAGCAGGGCTTGCTTCACCTGAAGCGAAAGAGCTGTCTTTGTGTTTCACATCTGTGCGGTCCCTGAACAAAAGGACGAAGTAATGACGCAGACAGCATCGTGACTTTTTGAAGTGAACGAAAGTCCAACTCCAGCTTGATTACCTATTGGATGGAGTAAATTATGTCTAACATCTATCATTTATTATTGAGCCCAGATTAGTGCTGTTCATTCTTGGGTCAATGACTATTAGAATTATAAGAATCTGTCTCTGTCTGTCTTTGGTCTTTTCGAGATGGGATCATGCTATGCAGTTCAGGCTGGCCTTGAGCTCACTTTGTAGACCCCAGACTGGTCTCAAACTCCCAAGGATCACCCTGTCTCAGTCGCCGAAGTGTGGGCATTCCTGGTGTGCACCACCACTCACAGAAGAATCTTTCTTGCTGTTGTCCTTTTAAAATACTTAGATGCCCTTAGACAAAAAGGCTAGGTACTTTTTACTCCATTTTGTGCCCCTCTACGCAATATTTTTGTTCTCGTATGTGAGTGTTTTGTGCAGACTGGGAGCCAACCAATTCTCTTGTAGAAATGAAACTTTACTAATTTTCATTTGCTCCTTCTTGGCTTCAAACTGCAAGGAACGTGAACTGGTAAAACAACAGCCAATGCGCAAAACAGCAGAGTGAACGTGCTGCCATGAATGAGGGGTTCCGGAGTCAAGGTAAACCCCTGGTCCCCCGAAGCAGAAACAGGGTTTCTCCTTCCGCACCACAGCCGCGCTGCAACGTGATCCGACTCCAAGCCGGCCGCACTCACAGTCCGTTAGGCGGCACCGACAGCCCCATCGCACAACACCCCGTGGCTCAGACAGTTTCGCAGACTTTACACGTCACTGGGCTGCACAGTAGAGAACGGGAGGTGTCTTCACAGATCGCAGTGTCCCTTTAGACTGCAAGCCTCCCTGCCTTTCGTTCGGCACTCGGAGTCATCTGGGAGCTCCCAGCTGAAACCCAAACAGTGCAGACACGCGGGCAGCAGCGTTCGGGCCGTGCCAGGCTGAGGCAGAGTCCGCGGCTGGCGACCGACACGGACACCGCCCACCAGGGAGGAGGGCACACACCAGGCGCCGCTCCGCGGGCCGACCCCGGCGACGAGAGGCCTGCGGAGGGCGCCGAGGCCGGGACGGCACTGCGGCCGCTCAGCAGCGCGGGCAGGCGGAGCTGGCCGGTGGCCGCAGCAGGACAAAGGCAGCAGCGCCCCGCACGGCCACGCCCAGGGCGGAGCCTAGGCCGGAAGGAGGCGGCCAGACCCCGAGCCGTGTCTAGGCAACGGCTCGCCTCGCTCCGGCTCCTCCGGAGCCCTAAATCCGGGTGCCGTGGGGGAGGGAGGGGAGGGGAGTGGGGGGAGGGAGGGGGGCGCGAGCGGGCCCGGGCGCTCAAGGGCGGCCGCCCGGGGGATGGCGGTCTTTCCCAGTGGAAGAGGACGAATGGAGAGCGCACTGCAGGGCAGAGGACGGCGAGGGGATAGGGGCGCGGGGGCGTCGGTCCTGCCGGCTCGCCTTCCACGGGGATCGGCTCTAAGGAGCAGCTCCCCTCCTGGGGTCCTTTGTCTCCGAGCCTTTCCAACGGAGCTGCAGGAGGCAACACAAAGGGAGGGCGGTGGCGAGCGGCGCAGGCGCAGGCAGTGCGGAGGCTGCTGGGAGTGGTGGTCCCACCTCTCGACGGTTCGTTCCCTCCGGCGGACCCCAGCGCGCATGCCCCATTACTTCCGCCTCGCCTAGGCCGGCCCCCTCCCGCCTCCCGAGGACGCGCCTCCTAGTAGTAGACGCTCCAGAGGCGGTGCCCGCTCTCGCCACGCCTCCCCCTTGTCTTCGTTGGCCACGGAGGTAAGGGAGAAAAGTGGATTGGCTCTAGGAGTTGCCAGTTCTGTTCCGGACCCTACTCAGCCCGCACTGCGGGGCGGGGTGAGCAAGGCTGGGGGGCAAGGAGGCGGCACCCGTAGTATGTCACGGTCTCCGAGGCAGCGGTCCCGCGGCCAGTCCAGCCTGGGGCGGGCCTTCAGGGAAGCAGGCCGCCATCGCGCGTCTCCCAGCAGGCGTGCAGCGCAGCACAGCAGGCTTGCTACCAAGTGCCAAACTCCTAGTAAAGTTTGCGCGTCTCCGCCGTCCCCAGCCTGGCCGCCATCCGCGGCCGCCTCCGCGACCCTCGCACCCAGCACCAATGACAAGCGTAGCCACGCCCCCGCGGGCCTGCCTCCCGGCCTGCCGCCCCCCGGCCCGGGACGGTGAGGGGCGTGAATGCGGCGGGGGCGGGGCCGCCGCCCGGGAGCGGGTGGGGGAGCCGAGCGCATGCGCGCTGCACGCGGGGCTGAATGTTTCCCAAGTGTTTGAAACTGGTATTTGGGTTTTCCACGTTGGACAAGTGCGGAGCGGCGGGCGGCCGAGCGCGCCCTTCTCGCGGCCGGCCCTGCCCCGCGACGCTTCCCGGTCCAGTCTGGTGGCAACGGCGGCGCCCAGCGCTCTCCCAGTCGGTGTGTGCGCGCCCGTACGCGCGGGCCCCCGCGCCAGCCGCCG